TTTTGTATCAGTTTTGTTGTCATGCCTCGAGACTGGGTTCGTGATGCGATAAAGAGGGACGTGAGGCGAGCAGAGGTCGGCCAAGAGAGGCGGCTTCGGATCCATTCATAGGCCTCGATCCAGACAGGAAAAGAAGATACATGTGGAGACTTGGATAAGGTTCCTTTCGAGTTGGTGCCGGCCATGGAAGCTCGCAGAGGAGGAGTACTAAGCGGATGGGCACGCTTACGTTCATTGTCGGGCGGATCGCGAGTCGGACCCTTGTTGTAGCGGAGTTGCTGTAGATTTTTGTACCATTGTTAACGTTCTATATTCGTTTCCACAGAATACTCGGTTATAATAATATTTCGTTTACGAAACTCGGTAAAAACGAGTTGAACCATGTTAGTGCGAAGATTATCATATTCTCCTTAACTGTGTTCATTATATATATTGTGGTCGCCTACTGCCTAATCATACATTGCCATCAGGTCCTCATAGGCAGGCGTAGTAGGATCATTCTCGGCACTGACCCAGTAGAGAAGATCCTCCGAAGATACGCTAACGACCCGGCTGGAGATATGCTGGAGACCTTATGCAAAGCTTGCGTTGAGCAGACCTCCCCTGACGATGGTCATGTGACAGGCGCAGACCGTCAGGCCCTCTTTGATGATCTTTGGCTCACTTTGGCCGACGGCGTCTCTGCTACCATGGCCGAGACCACTCTAAGCAGCTTAGATGCCGCTATTGTTCTCAAGTGCTTCATCTACTGCGATCGGACGCCTCCAGAGCCACTCTTGTTGAAGTTACTGCGGCGTGTGGCTGGTCGTGGCTCACAGGGCTTCTCGGAGTACGGCCTGGTCTATGCCATGCAGGCCGTAGGGAAGCTACCCACCCTCGATGAGGAGGTTGCTGGGGTCCTTGGGAGCATTTTAGCTCTGGGTCGTCGAAGCCTGAAGGCAATGGAGGTTGGCGTGCTTGGTCACGCCTTTGCGGCCGCCAGTGTGTTGATGGTTAAAGAGGCCTTGCCCAAGTCTCTAAAAGTAGGGCAACTCCTGATGAGCATCTGTGAGGAACTGGAGGCCCGGTGTGGGTCGAAGGACAGTTTCAACATGTCCACTGTAGAGGTAATGGGACTGATCCATTCCCTGGGAAGGTTGCAGCGGCAGAGCTCTCACGTGGGGAGTCTTCTGATTGCCTTGGAGCCGTGGGTTGGGAAGATACTCTACTCCTTGGAACTCCCCGACTTGGTAGCAGTG